AGGTGAAAACAAATTTCAGAATATGTTATCTTGACGCTTAAATTTTAATATAAACTTAAGAAAAATATACCAAGCCAGGTGAATTTTAAGAGGAAGATCAAAATGACAAAAAATTAGTAATATCACATAGGCTGATTTTTACCATTTAGCTTTTCCTAATAAAATTCACCTGGCTTGGTATATTTTTCTTAAGTTTATATTACACTTTTAGCACATTGTTAACATATTCTGAAAATTGTTTTCACCTGTAAACCTTTACTGAATGTGATTTGTCTATATTTGTTTTTTCATTGAAATATTACTAATATTTTTAAGTCTTTTTCAAATTCCAGTACTTAAGAGAGAAAATTCTAAGAACCATCTTCATTTCTAAACTTGTGACATGATATTAGATCTTTTTCAAAGAAAAAATTTGTTTGTATCATCTGTCCTTAAGCTGAATGTAGAAAATGTGGATAGTGCAAGGGCATACGCTTGTTTTTCAAGAAAAAAATTGTTACAGATTAAAAGAGGTTTATATCCTCTACCCAAAAAGTGCTGGGAGCTAGTCAGTGCTGTTTGTGAAGTACTTAGAATTTTGCCGAAAATGCTTATTATAGCTAAAAATTTCCACTTCGCTTAAATTCTGTTATAAATAAAATTAATGTTATGCAGACCAGGATCAGCTCCCAGCACTTTTCAAAATATACACTATATGAGCAATAAATATTCCAAATTTCAGCTCAAACAAAATAGTCTATGCAATTGCACTTTTGATGTAAATCACGAATACGCTCATCGTTTTAGCGATATTCTCTATATTCCTTATCCCTGTGCAGCTTTAATGCTACTAGATAAATTCATATTCTATACACATTGTATTTAATAAATTATTTTCTTTTAGTTTTTATGATTAGGTCTAAAAATTAGCAATGGTATCATATTTATTTAAGCATTCTTGTAATAATTTAACCAGTGAATCTAGTCCTCTGGATAACTTGTGTTGCGTCATACCAAGGCTGATGACGTCATATTTGACAAAAGGCTTTCTTCTATTACTCGACTGTATCGCTATCAAGTATTACAATTTTACAAGATTTTATGAATAATCGATAAAATAAGTAAATTCAAGTTGTTATTTACGCATGATCATGTTGTTAATTAATTTTTGTGGCTTGTTAAATTTCAATGACGTCACAATTAAACTTCCAATACGATGTACAAGGAATTTGAACTCTGACCTTCCTTAATATAGCTGAGTTTACTGAGACATGACGACAATTACTAGTCCAGTCTGTGTTTACTGTGACATGACGACAATTACTAGTCCTGTCTCTGTTTACTGTGACATGACAACAATTACTAGTCCAGTCTGTGTTTACTGTGGCTTGACGACAATTACTAGTCCTGTCTGTGTTTACTGTGACATGACGACAATTACTAGTCCTGTCTGTGTTTACTGTTACATGACGACAAATACTGGTCCTGTCTGTTTTAACTGTGACATGACGACAATTACTAGTCCTGTCTGTGTTTACTGTGACATGACGACAATTACTAGTCCTGTCTGTGTTTACTGTGACATGACAAGAATTACTGGTCCTGTTTGTTTTTACTGTGACATGACGACAATCACTAGTCCTGTCTGTGTTCACGGTTAGATGACGACAATTATTACTCCTGTCTGTGTTTACTGTGACATGACGACAATTACTGGTCCTGTCTGTGTTAACTGTGACAAGACGACAATTTCTAGTCCTGTCTGTGTTAACCGTGACATGATGACGATTACTAGTCCTGTCTGTGTTTACTGTGACATGACGACAATTACTAGTCCTGTCTGTGTTTACTGTGACATGACGACAATTACTAGTCCTGTCTGTGTTTACTGTGAAATGACGACAATTACTAGTCATTTCTGTGTTTACTGTGACATGACAACAATCACTAGTCCTGTCCGTGTTTACTGTAACATGGCGACAATTACTAGTCCTGTCCGTGTTTACTGTTATAAGACTACAATAACTAGTCCTGTCCGTGTTTACTGTTACATGACGACAATTCCTAGTCCTGTCCGTGTTTACTGTTACATGACGACAATTCCTAGTCCTCTCTGTGTTTACTGTGACATGACCACAATTACTAGTCCTGTCTGTGTTTACTGTGACATGACGACAATTACTTGTCCTGTCCGTGTTTACTCTGACATGACGACATTTACTAGTCCTGTCCGTGTTTACTGTGACCTGACCACAATTACTAGCCCTGCCTGTGTTTACTGTGACATGACGACAATTACTAGTCCTGTGTGTGTTTACTGTGACATGACGACAATTACTGGGCCTGTCTGTGTTAACTGTGACATGACGACAATTAGTAGTCCTGTCTGTGTTTACTGTGACATGACGACAATTCCTAGTCCTCTCTGTGTTTACTGTGACATGTCGACAATTACTAGTCCTGTCTGTGTTTACTGTGACATGACGACAATTACTGTGCCTGTCTGTGTTAACTGTGACATGACGACAATATCTAGTCCTGTCTGTGTTAACAGTGACATGAAGACAATCACTAGTCCTGTCTGTCTCGACTGTGACATGACGACAATTACTAGTCCTGTCTGTGTTTACTGTGACATGACGACAATTACTGGTCCTCTCTGTGTTGACTGTTACGTGACGACAATTACCAGTCCTGTCTGTGTTAACAGTGACATGACGACAATTACTAGTCCTGTCTGTGTTTACTGTGACATGACAACAATTACTGGTCCTTCTTGTTTTTACTGTGACATGACGACAATTACTAGTCCTTTCAGTCTTTACTGTGTGATGACGACAACCACTAGTCCTGTCTGTGTTTACTGTGACCTGACGACAATTACAAGTCCAGTCTGTGTTTACTGTGACATGACGACAATTACTTGTCCTGTCCGTGTTTATTGTGACCTGACGACAATTACTAGTGTTGCGCTTGGTCAGTTCAGAAATTCACACCGTCATGTAGTAACATTTTATTGTTTCGACCTGTTAATGGATAGATATCTATTACAATAAATAACAGTTTGTTGATAATTATACAATTCTCATTATTATTAACAGTCATGTTTTAAATACTAAATAACTCACAGATTGACGGGCTAAATACATGACATTGTTTCGCCGTTGAGGAGTCCGTGCATCTCAAACCGGATATTACTTACGAAATAATAAAGTCCGAAACGATACGGATGGAATGTACAATTCCGAAACGTACACTCCCCCCACCATTTGTCCGGGGATATGAAAAAGTTCACATGTTCACAGTTTACATTTACACCTGTTCTTCAATTGGAAGAATCACAACTAATCGTCGAACTGATCTGCAAACCACCGTATCTGGACAACCACAATATTTAGGATCTTGGTTCAGATTTTTGTATCTAAGTTTTACATCCCGAACTTTTCCATCACTTCCTGGGTTTGCCTCCGAAACTTGTGCCAGTTTCCATTGACCACGCACATTATTTGAATCTTGAACAATTACAATGTCACCATTTTGAATGTTTCTCCTTTCATGATTCCATTTCTGTCTTATAATAAGGGTATGAAAGAAATCTCGTGTCCATCTTCTCCAAAATGTATTCACCACACGCTGAACAAATTTCCATCTTATTCTGGGGTCCTTGCAATCATCCCAGTCTCTTACAGGGACTCTGGTGCTTGCCCGACCTAACAATAGATCGTTCGGACAAAGATATGTACCTTCAGTAGGGTCGCAATTTTTTGTACCAATGGGACGTTCATTTAGTAGATTGGAAACTTCAAAGAGAACAGTTTGTAACTCTGAAAATGTCATAATTGCTGATCCAATGGCAGTCTCAAGAGAAAGTTTTGTTGAACGAATAAGCGACTCGCTGCAACCATTTTCCCAGGGTGCGTCCGCTGATTTTGTTGTCTGCCAATCCATGCCTCTAGCTTTCCCAAAATTCTTGATATCTTCCCAATCCCAAGTATGTACAACTTTTTGTAATTCTTTCCCGGCAGCAATTAGTTGAGTACCTGCATCAGAAATCATTTTTCTGGGATATCCTCTGATGGAAACAAAACGTCGTAGTACCATAAGGAAACTGCCCATGTCATATCCTTCTGGTACATCAATATATACTGCTCTTGAAACTAAGCAATTAAACAAGACACCATAACCTTTCCCATGGGTCCTCTTCTTAACTGCATCCTTGATTACAAGAGGTCCAAACAAATCAACAGCACACATGTAGAAGGGAGGGGTCGGTTTAAGTCTTGTCTCTGGCATTGGACCCATCTGTTGACCTTGCATTGATTTGAATTTTCTTCTACATATTACACACCTAAATTTAATTCTGCTTATAATGTTTTTTTACTTTAGGTATCCAAAATCTGCTACGGATCTTTCCTAGAGTAACGTCAATCCCTGCATGATCTTCATCGTGTATTGCTTTCACTACACATATTCTGTAAATTCGTGATTTGTAGGAAGAAGTGCAAATGTGGACTGATTCCAGGTTTCTTCAATCCATTTACTCATTCTTTGTCCAACTGTAATAATTCCATCCTTTGTTCGTTCAGGGCCAAGACGTCGAAACCTCTGCATAACATTGTTTGGTAGGTCCATTTGAGCATGTAAAATCCAAGCCTTTTCAGCCTCTCTTATAACTTCAGCTGTCACATTTTTCAGAATCTTCTTGAATGAGTGCGCCTTGAATATAAGTTGCAAAATACCAGTGAGTCTATACAGCTTATTCAAGGATGAGATTCTCGTGGTGTCTATCAATTCCAGTATCCGAGTTGAGGATTCCTTTGGCTTCACTTCAATAATTTCTGTCAACACACTGTGCACCAATGAATCTGGAATTTCTGAAACATCAACAGTTTGTTTCATTGGCCACTGTTCAATAGGATAGTGTAAGAATTCTGGTCCTTTCTGCCACCTTGAATCATTGTTTAATATGCTGGGATGTGTAATCCTTGTTGTAAGATCTGCAGGATTTTGATCAGAAGGAATCCAAAACCATTCAGCCTTTTGTGTCTTTGATTGAATTTCGGCTATCCTATTGGCGACAAATGTACCAAAACCGTAACTTTCCTTTTGAATTTGGGCACGGACAATTGCAGAATCAGTAAGATGAATTACTCTCTGAAATGTAAAAGTCATGCTTTCCACAATTTTTTCCCTTATTCTAGCTGACAGCACAGCACCGCAAAGCTCAAGCCTTGGAATGGAAAGTTGCTTAACTGGCGCAATCCGATTTTTTGCAAAAATTAATCTGACGTCATAAATGTCCCAAGCAGTCTCCCATCTTATGTACGCACACGCTCCAAAAACAAGATTGCTGCCATCAGAAAAAAGCACCAAGACCGGATTTCCAAAGACATTAGTTGGTTTTAAACATCTGGGAATGCACAGGGATTCTAACTGAAAGAGTCCATTGAAAAATTCTATCCATTGTTGTCTCATTTCTGCGGATAAAGGTTTATCCCACACTTCAGACTTACTCTGGTTTCCTTGGCATAAATTTCTTATGAGAGATTTTGCACTAAGAGTGTAAGGAACGATCAGTCCTAAAGGGTCATACACTCCTGCAACTTGGCTGAGTACCATTCTTCTTGTCAAATTTTCAGGAATTTCCTCCGACTTATTGGTTGATTTCTCTTCATGGCTTTTATGCTTTGTTTTCCTGGAGAAGTTCAATCGCACTTTAAATGTAAATACATCATCAACAGGTTTCCACACTAGTCCCAACACCTTTTCTGATTCTGTATTCATTATGTTGATTTCATCAATTTCCTGATGATGGTCTCCTGATATAATCCAATGCTTTATGTGAAAGCCACCAAAGTCCAATACTTGATTGATATCCTTAGCCAATTGCAATACATTTTCAAATGTGGGATCTGATGCTAAAATGTCATCAACATAGCTGTTGTTTTTTATAACACTAGCAGCCTTTGGGTAAACATCTTCCAGCATTTCAGCTGTTTTATTGAGAGCTATAATAGCTATAGCACCACTGGGGCGATCTCCAAATGGAACACTGGTCAGCACATAATGATCTGGTGGTCTGTCGATTTCACAATTTCTCCATAAAAATCTGTGTGTATGCTGATCTTCTATGGAAAGATGAATCGAGTTATACATTTTGGAGATATCGCCTACAAGACCAACCTGATTTTCTCGAAACTTCAACAAGATGGAAAGAAGATCATTTAAAACTTTTGGTCCTTTAGCCCAGTAGTCATTAATAACATGACCCATGTAGGAAGCAGAAGAGTTGAACACAATTCGAAGTGGTGTGGATGATGATTCTGGTTTTAAAACCTCATGATGTGGAAGATAGTGCACAGGTCCTTTGTATGAAGTAACTTCCTCTGGTGATAATTTTCTAGCAGCCTTTCTCTGCACCATGTCATCTATCTGTTTTTGATATTCCTGAGTGTGTTCATCGCCAGTTTTTTTCAGTCGTTGTTCCGTTGACCGTAAACGGCCTATAACAGCTTGTATGTTATTAGGCAGTTCTGAAGGATTCCGTTTCCATGGGTAATTTATGGTCCAGCATTTGTTGGCATCATCATGCTTTAATCCAGTCTCAATCATGTTCAGTTCATGCTCCTCTTCAATGGTGTAATGTCCTGAACCAACAACACAATGTCCACATTGACACCCTCCACACCTTGGTTGACAGTAGGTTTCTAAGTGTTTCAATATCTAGAAAACTATCAAACAGATCTTTTAGCGATTTAGTATTCATGATATGACATGGAATTTAATTCACTTCCCGACAAATGATTGATACAAAACGAGTTTGGCATTGCGGATACTTTAATCAGCACCCTAAAATTTCAATGTGAATGACTTACACCTCACACAATAACCAAATTGATTTTTCATCAACTTGAAGATTTTCAAAAACATCAAAGTTCAAAAGCAACACAAAATTGGTTGAACAATACGATATGCCGTCAACTCTTGTGGGTAAAAGAATGCGTACAGTCTGATCCAATCAATGTAAATCAACCTCTCCACATGGTCTGCAGATATCAGAGTCTGTAATTCCATTAAATAATTGTGCACCATCATGTTTACACCACAGCGGAACATCTTATTTCTTGTATCCTGCATTTGTTGTATTTATTTGCTAAATACCGTTTTTGAATTAATTTGTGCCAATATAGATCCAAATCCTTGTCTGTCAAGGGGATTATATATTCTTTGCTATGTAGTTATTCCAATCTACAATTTTATCCACCTTCGTGATACTGAGGGTATACATCATTACATGTAGATGAATAAATTAACATTTCCTTGCTGGCAGAACGATAGTGAAATTAACGATTTTTTGTATTTGAATTCATTTAGGTAAAGAATATATTTAAATGGTCAAAAAAGTCTTATAAAAGAAATTGTTTTTTCACAAAGTTGATAGCAAAATATTTTCCATAAAAACTATAACTTCACGTAATTAAGAAAATACATAAGAAGGCCTGTAAGGGCTTGTTGGAAAGGAAATTTTCTCCCAGGTTCTTTTGTTTTCTATTAACACAGAAATAAACTTAAAACTGAGCTTTGTTTAAACGTTTAAAATTATACTTTACATAGAAAATAGTGCAAGAAAAAATCGAGAAAAACACACAAGTGCAAGAAAATTCTTGTTTTTAAAATATACTTTAAAGTAACAACAATAATTTTTACATATTTTAAAAGCAGAGAAAATATGCTTTAAGAATATACCATACTTTCTTTATAAAGTTAATCAGGAAAAAAATGTCAATCGTCTGGAAAATCGGCAATTACTTTGGAAAATTACGCCAATTTAAAAAAGTCACGTTTGTCTTCACAACGTAAAATCGATTAAATACCGGCAATCAAGACATAATCTTTTTAGATATTTTAAAAGTAGAGAAAATTTCCAAAAAGACGATATATAGTTTATATACCTTCGCGCTACCATTAAATAGATACGGAGATCTTATTTTCGCGAAGTCGGTGTTTAACGATCGGTCAATTTGACTGGTACGGAAATGAAGGGGTTAATATGCTGGGATGTGTAATCGTTGTTGAAGATCTGCAGGATTTTGATCAGAAGGAATCCAAAACCATTCAGCCTTTTGTGTCTTTGATTGAATTTCGGCTATCCTATTGGCAAATGTACCAAAACCGTAACTTTCCTTTTGAATTTGGGCACGGACAATTGCAGAATCAGTAAGATGAATTACTCTCTGAAATGTAAAAATGTCATGCTTTCCACAATTTTTTCCCTTATTCAGCCTACAGCACAGCACCGCAAAGCTCAAGCCTTGGAATCGGAAAGTTGCTTAACTGGCGCAATGATTTTTAAAAATTAATAAAACAGCCTCTCCCATCTTATGTACACACACGCTCAAAAAAGTTCACCAAGACCGGATTTCCAAAGACATTAGTTGGTTTTAAACATCTGGGAATGCACAGGGATTTCTTATGAACGTCCATTGAAAAATTCTATCCATTGTTGTCTCATTTCTGCGGATAAGTTTATCCCACACTTTAAATAAATTTCTTATGAGAGATTTTGCAAATACATCCTGCAACTTGGCTCAGTACCATTCTTCTTGTCAAATTTTCAGGAATTTCCTCCGACTTATTGGTTGATTTCTCTTCATGGCTTTTATGCTTTGTTTTCCTGGAGAAGTTCAATCGCACTTTTGTAATACATCATCAAACAGATTCTTTTTCCGTTCTGTATTCATTATGTTGATTTCATCAATTTCCTGATGATGGTCTCTCTGATATAATCCAATGCTTTATGTGAAAGCCACCAAAGTCCAATACTTGATTGATCCTTAGCCAATTGCAATACATTTTCAAATGTGGGATCGTATGCTAAAATGTCATCAACATAGCTGTTGTTTTTTATAACACTAGCAGCCTTTGGGTAAACATCTTCCAGCATTTCAGCTGTTTTATTGAGAGCTATAATAGCTATAGCACCACTGGGGCGATTTCCAAATGGAACACTGGTCAGCACATAATGATCTGGTGGTCTGTCGATTTCACAATTTCTCCATAAAAATCTGTGTGTATGCTGATTCTTCTATGGAGTTGATTCCTTATACATTTTGGATATATTGCCTACAAGACCAACCTGATTTTCTCGAAACTTCAACAAGATGGAAAGAAGATCATTTAAAACTTTTCTTTAGCCCAGTAGTCATTAATAACATGACCCATGTAGGAAGCAGAAGAGTTGAACACAATTCGAAGTGGTGTGGATGATGATTCTGGTTTTAAAACCTCATGATGTGGAAGATATTGCACAGGTCCTTTGTATGAAGTAACTTCTCTGGTGATAATTTTCTAGCAGCCTTTCTCTGCACCATGTCATCTATCTGTTTTTGATATTCCTGAGTGTGTTCATCGCCAGTTTTTTTCAGTCGTTGTTCCGTTGACCAAACGGCCTATAGCAGCTTGTATGTTATCTCTCTCTTTCCATTTTCATTCGTTTGTTGGCATCATCATCTAAATAACATCGTTCAATCACTTCTGAAGGATTCCGTTTCCAGTCTACACTATTTATAAAGCTGATAACAACACAATGTCCACATCGACTATGACCTTGAGCTTCTGGATGTCACTCTAGAAAACTATAAAACAGATCTTTTAGTTTCTCTGATATGCATGGAATTTAATTCACTTCAGTCTGTGCAAAACAGTTTGGCATTGCGGATACTTTATCATTATTCCCCTCACACAATAAATTGACTTTTAATGCCTCTCCGTGTAAGCACTTTTTCAGAGCAAATGGGTCTGTAATTCCATACGAATGGTACCATAATACATTCATAGTCTCTTTTGAAACTTGGGTATTCCCGTATTGCACCGCTAAATGAAGGTGCATCAAGTTTTTTAACTTTAACGGTTTCCTTTTTTGTTTTTGTCTCTAATTCCTTTTGTTTAATCTTTTCTGCTAATCTTGTCACATGTAAACGGCACTCACATAATTCACTGTACATTTTGTCCATGTCTCTATCAACATTTTCATGTTCACTTGCTTGTAATTCATTTTCTAGATCTAAAAGTTCTATATATTCTGCATGACTTCTTTCTAAATCATTATAATTTTCCGTTGATCACTAAGAATATTTTGTAGTACACCATGGTCCTCCTTATAACCTAATTCTCTAAATCTGTTGTATATTCTGTAAAACTTGCCCTTTTGCGTTGATATTCTTGCCCTGTAGCTCAGGATCTTTCGACTCTTCGGGTGGCGGCATGTTCCCTCTGTGTCGAAATGTTGCGCTTGGTCAGTTCAAAATTCACACCGTCATGTAGTAACATTTTATTGTTTCGACCTGTTAATGGATAGATATCTATTACAATAAATAACAGTTTGTTGATAATTATACAATTCTCATTATTATTAACAGTCATGTTTTAAATACTAAATAACTCACACATTGTGGGCTAAATGTTGTTTCGCCGTTGAGGAGTCCATGCATCTCAAACCGGATATTACTTACGAAATAATAAAGTCCGAAACGATACATACGGAATGTACAATTCTACAACTAGTCCTGTCTGTGTTTACTGTGACATGACGACAATTACTAGTCCTCTCCATGTTTACTGTGACATGATGACAATTACTAGTCCTGTGTGTGTTTACTGTGACATGACGACAATTACTAGTCCTGTTTGTATTTACTGTGACATGACGACAATTACTAGCCCTGTCCATGTTTACTGTTAAATGACGACAATTACTAGTCCTGTCTGTGTTTACTGTGACATGACGACAATTACTAGTCCTGTCTGTGTTTTCTGTGACATGACAACAATTACTAGTCCTGTCTGTGTTTACTGTGACACGACGAAAATCACTAGTCCTGTCTGTGTTTACTGTGACTTGACGACAATTACTAGTCCTGTCTGTGTTTACTTTGACATGACGACAATAACTAGTCCTGTCTGTGTTTACTGTGACACGACGACAATCACTAGTCCTCTCCGTGTTTACTGTGACATGGCGACAATTACTAGTCCTGTCTGTGTTTACTGTTACATGACTACAACAAGTTAATTGATGCAAAGCATCATTTAACATGTCAAAAAAGCACTTTCACAATTCAAAGCATTCATGCAAGAAAAGAACAGGATATTCAAAGCTGAAATACTGATCATGTTTATTTCAGGCCGTCTTTAAAGCAAAATAAACAGATAAATATTTTTTAAAAAAATGATAGAAATTTTAGTATCATGCCTGCTGTTCATTCCAATTCAATGAATAAAATATATTTTAAACTAGAAATTTTAGTGCATTTGCTCATCCAATGGATTTATTGATGTAAAAAAATCTATGATGAATAGGCATGGGCGTCGGATGCAAATCGAAAGTGGGTCGGGGGTGGGGTGGGCAAACTGAAAGGGGGGGGGGGGGGCTAAACCAACAAAAAATGGTAAAGCCCATTTTCAAAGCCTATATAATGTACATATTTGCAAAACAGTGGGGGGAGCTAACACCCCCCCCCGGTTCCGACGCGTATGATATGAGAAATCATTGTTATCAAAATGAAGATGTATACCTTTAAAGATATACCACATGCTGATACACTGCTGCATGGTGCGGTGCAAAATGTATAAAAATAATCTTTGTGTCATTCGCAGCTGTAGCATTTTCAAACAAGTTTTAACTAGTGGAGCAACTTTCCAATTTTTTATTCACCATGCACTTTTACCACGTGCAATTCACTATTATCCGGAAAATCATAACGATTTCCTTTTATATCTTACACACTCCCTGGATGGGGAGTACCTATTGTAAACTCTTTTTATTTAACCATAAATTATCAATTATCTGCTGCCAAATGATAATGAAATTGAAACAAAATAACAACGATTAAATCTTAATTTAAAGCAAGTTTTTTAAAATATTTTACTCATGATTTTATACATGTTATAATTTGAAAATTATTTTACTGACCTAATAAAATAATAACATCTCATTTCCCCATGTGCACTTTCTAACACAACCACAAATCGATCGGCCGCTGCTGCGGCCGATAATAACTAGCCCTGTCTGTGTTTACTGTGACATGACAACAATCACTAGTCCTGTCCGTGTTTAC